AAATTCCAGACCCCAAACTTCCAGCTTCAGCCACATGCTGTGTTGGAAAACCATTCACCCACAAACTCTCAAGGTCTTATGTTGAACCTGGACCCTGGGTCTCCAGCCCAATCTCATCTCCTGGAGAACGTCCTCTCCTATTTGTTGTTGCTGTTGGTTGGCTCCAATTCATGACATACTTATGTACAACAGAGCAAAACCTTGACTGGCCGTGCACTATCTTTATGATCACTGATATGTTGGCATCCATTGCTGCTATTGTGGCAACTCATCTCATTGAGAATTGGCCTCATGTTCACTGTTCTTCTACATTACCAAGCATAATGTCCTTTTCTAGTGATTGATTTTTCCTGATGACATTTCCTAAATAAATGAGCCAAAGTCTCACCAACCATGTTTCTAAGGAGAATTTTGGTTGTATTTCTTCTAAGACTGATTTTTCACTTTTCAGATAGTCTATGGTATTTACTCAATATTCTTTGCCAACACAAAATTCAAGTACATCAGTTTTTCATCTGTCTTCCTTTTTCCTAGTCCAGCTTTTGTTTCCACCACCACAAATTAGAATAGCACAACAATTTTCTTCAGAAATTTTGGGTTTATATCCTTTCATTTCCAGAAGTCCCTTGGGCTCTTTTTGCCAAGGAGCCTACTTTCTCCCCAGAGCTTTATCCAAGGGGAAGGGCAACCACTTACCTTATAAATTTGCTTTACATTTGCATAATTAAAGGCAGCAAATCTTACGGTTTTTAGTCTCCTTTTCTTTAATAAGGAAATTCTATCTCTAGGTGATTTTCTGTTATCCTTATTTACAGTAGTAGAAGCAAGAATACAATGTTTAACTGTATCTCAACAGATACAGTTTTATATGAGGAAACTGGGGGCAAGAAGACTACTGGGTAGCTTTTATTTTAATATCTGCAAAGGAAGAGCCCCTAAAATGAAGATAAAACAAAGCCCGTGTGGTGTGTAGGAACTAGGTTTTTCAGAACAAATCCAATTACTCCCTATTCTCCATTGTGCATATTCTGATACCTTCCTGTTTTATTTAAGAGAGGTCCTTTCAAGATCATATTCACAAAGTGGCTAGCCTTACAAACAGATTCAACGCCAGTTACTCCGTTGGTGGTGTTTCTGCCAAGCCAAGAGCATCTGGCAGCTCTGTTTCCTCTGCCACTGTCATTCCTCAGATGTTTGTCCCGTTACTTTTTTGGGTGAAAAACAGACTAGACTTTCCTAGATTTGCCTATTGTGCTTTAGACACAGTATCTTGGATTTCACTGTCCCACCGTGGGGCACCAAGCTAAGCCTTGAATAGATGTTGGAAAATGTTTTTAAAAAAAAATGATTTTTTTTTTTTTTTTAATTTACAGCAGCCTGTGCTTTTGATTGCATCAATAACATACTTCGCTCACCACCATTAATGGAGGAAATTTATTTTATAATGGCATATTCATTAGATGGATAGAGCTATGTTGCTTTAACTCCATTGTATCATTTCCTAAGTAGCTTTCCAAGATACAATTTTTTAAAAATCAACTAAGTTTAAGAAAACAAAGTTATTCTTTGAGATATTCAATATGATTAATAATAATAAAGGCTCTATGAAATCCTACAATAAAGAAAGTGATCTCACTTTCTTTAATCTACTTTTTCTCCAAACCTATTTGAACAAATAACTTTTTTTTCAATACAACACATTTTGCTATCCAACAAATTTTTGAAAATTCTGCTCTGTTGCTACCAATCCACTTCAATATAACTTCCTAATGCAATGTGTTGGAGTTTTCTCGTGGATCTATTTTACTGTACTCTGTGTATAACAGGACCTCTGGTAGCACAGTGACTAAGACACTTAACTGGTAACCAGAAGGCTGAAAGGTTCGCAGTTCAAACTCACCAGTCACTCTGCCGGAGAAAAATATTGCAGTCAGATTTTGTTAAGATTACCACTTTGGAAGTAGTATCGGGAAGTCTTATTCTGTCCCTTAAGGTCACTAAGAGTGGAAATCATCTCGAGAACACCATTGATATTTTTCATGGAAATCTGTGGTGTGAGTTCATTTTGTTCTTCCCAATATTCAGCAATTTTGTGGTGTAGCTTATGATATCAGAAATTATTGATGTCGCACATTAACTCTGGTAGCTATTTTTTCAGTGTTGTGCTAGTTCTATTGTGTTGTGTTGATGTTGTTGTTATGTGCCATTGAGTCAGAAGCGACTCATAGTGATCCCTCCTTGGGTTTTTGAGGCAGTATCACTACAGAAGTAGATTGCCCCATCTTCCTTCTGAGGAGTGGCTGGTAGGTTTGAACGGCCAGCCTTCTAATTAGCAGTCAAGTGTCATAGGCATTATGCTACCAGAGCTCCTCATTGAGTTGTGTTAGTACTGGCTAAGTCTTTTGGGAGCTTGAAAAGGAATTTCCAATTTACATATATAAAACGAAGACCCTAAAGCATAAGTGATATGAACTTTCTTTCTTTTTTTTTTTTTTTTTTTCTCCTTTCCCCAAAAATGACCCTTAGCAAAGTTCAGTAATTACTATTTGGAAACACCTACATAAATTGTATTTCAGTTCATGTTAGTTTTGTGAGAAAATTATGTTTCTTCTAGTAAATTACTTGCTTTTCCTCCCTCCTGGAATAAACCACAAGAAATAATAAATACTGTTATTAGTCACTGGAGGGTAACTTTACATTGCTCAGCCAGGGATTTTGAGTACGTTCTTGAGGTGCAGGTATGACTAGTGGACTCAACTTGAAATAAAGGTTAGCACAGGAACCAAACAGCTTCTAGATTCCACAAATGGATAGAATGAGTGTAGTAAGTAATAAGTGTAATTATGCTTTATTTCAACTACTTAAGTATTATGAAAGGATCTCTGGTTATTCAAAGGAGAAATGTTCAGTAGCAAATTGAATGGCTGACAGTTCAAACCCACTAGCTGCTCCATGGGAGAAAGAAAGATGTGATAGTTTGCTTCCATAAACTTTATAGTTTTAGAAACCCTATGGGGAGTTTCTTCCGTTTTATAGGGTTGCTGTGAGGTGGAATTGACTCAGTGGCAATGATTTGGTTTTCTTTTGGTTCTTGTTATTTATTTATTTTGCTGAAAGCCTTTGCTGGAGCATTCACCTAAACATCTTAAATATTTTGCTCAACATCATAAAAAAATCATAAAATTTTAAAGTAAAGCAATCAATTAATTACGAAGTTGTCACGATTCAGATTCGTTCATATGTGAAAGAGAAACTTAATTCAAATTGGAGTAGGGGAAAAAAAAGTAATACATGGTTTCCAATAACTGGAAAGTCAGGGCTGGCTCCAAGTACAGCCAGATCCTGATGTGGTCTAATGATCTTTTTCTGACCCTCTCTGAGCAGTGTTGCACTATGTGGAATTTATTTCAGATAGCTCTCTCTAATTGGCAGCACGGAGCCAAAGGAAATTTCAGGCTTACATTATTCCATATTGCTGACTATACCTAAGTGAAGGTGATAAGGGACTGTAGTTTTCCCACGTGAGTCATTTATGGTGAAGAGGTGCCACAAGAAAGGAGCAGTTTCTAAAAGGAAGGCATGCAGGGCATACCAAAGAGAATGAAACTGATTTCTAGTTGTAAATGCAGTTTGAAGCCATTTTTAATATGTCAAATCCTTGATTCATTAAGAACAACAGCTCAGAAAAGCCAAGATGAATGAATGATGAGTCATTTACCCCAGGAATGTGTGGCCTTACTCATGTCTAGTGAAAAGTATGTTGACCTTTCTCCATCCCATTTCCTGCACTGAATAAAAATATCAGTGATCTTACCTTTAAGATAATTAAAGGAGCACTTATATGCACTATACAAGCTAACGGTTTGTTTTTACTTTTTTTTTCCCCCTTGAAAATGGTGGTGCTTTCTTTGTGATGTCATCTCCATAGTCTAGAATATGCAAGAATTTTGATGAAATTTAAATCATAAGATATCAATCAAATAGCAGGTACCTTAAAAGGAGTCTTTTAAGGTTGATTATGTTGGAACATTATTACAACAGCAAAGAACAGAAACAAATTCAGAGTAATGTATTCTAAAGCTCCTCCTTCCCCGAGAAAATAGAGGTGGCGATTGGTGAGGCTTTATAATCAATTATCAATAGAATAAAGTTTTTTTCCTGCCAGTAATAGCTTAACTTTTAAAAACACTCTGTTTAACTTCTGTTTCAGTTTTGGGGCTCATTGTTGACTTGATTTGCCATGGGGCCTTTTTGTGAGTGAAGCTTGTAGGAAGAAGATTAATAATAGTTTCTGACATATATTTGCTTTTAATTAAAATTTGGAATCTTTGTAATCTGGAAGTAAGGGCTAACAGATTTATGTTTAGTTTTTTTTTTTTTTTTTCCCCAAAGAATGGAGTCACTGTCATCTCTTAAAGAAATCTGCCCTCTTCAGTGTCATTACTCCTGTTGGCAGTGTTAACAGGATGAGGTTATAACAAGTTATTTGCTACATCTATGTATCTCAGCATTCTGCTGATTCAGTGCCATACAGCTGTTGACTATTGCTTCCAAGACACAGAGGACCAAAACTATGTAATTACTTCCGCTAAATTAGAAATAATGTGAACTATGTTGTAATGAGATCCCTAAGGCGATATTACCATAAACCAGTGACCAGTTCATACTTGTAATGAAGATTCAGATCATGGAACTATGATTATCAGATATGATTTAATCAATATCCAACATTAATTAATAAAGGAAATGCATACTTAACCTATGTGAACTACAGTAAAATAAAGTTTAAATTAAATTTTATATATATATATATATATATATATATATATATATTTGTGTTTATGGATACTTTGGATCATATTACACTGTCTTTTACTTTAAAATGTACTTACTTTCTGTTTATTTGTTACCTCGGTAACTTTCTTCAAGTTCATAAAGCACAAAATTTGTTAAATATTTGATTTATTTTATAATAAATATAATTTTTTCTTTTCTTACAGGAACTTGAATTTCAGGATCTGACGGCTGTTTTGCATTGCATACACTCCTTTATAGCAGCCAAGGTGGCCTCAGTGGATCCCGTATTCATAGACAGCCAGAGTATTGCAAGGAAATACATGTATAACAGCTAAAACTTGCTTCTGTTGAGTGCTGAAAAATTAAATTATTTTCTTAAGAAATGAATCTTTCCTGCACAACATTGCAACTTTGTGTGATTTTATAATGAGCCTATAGTTGTGATACCAATAAAATATGTCACTAGTTTCCAAATATGGGTCATACTTGTTAAATCTGACAAGTTAGCACAGATTCTGTTTATGGAAACTTATGGTTAATAGAAACCAGTGTTCCACAGTGAAATAATTCACATCACCTCTGCTGTTATTTCTCCAAATAGTGTAAAAAATTATATCAACACTACCGACTCTACTACCTACAATGGTAAAATCCTGATTCCGTTTTCCAAAAGTCTAAAGCAGAAAATACTGAGAACTCACCACTTTTTTTTCCTTCGAAAAGGAAATAGTGATTTTTGGATTTGACTTGTCATCTTTCCCTTTTTCTCAGGGAGGCCTGTGTGAAGGGATCTGTTGATAAATGAATGGTAGAAATATATAGGAAAAGAAAATTAACTTTAATTACTTTTCTACTTCACAAAATATAGCATATATTTTGGTTTTCTTGTTCGTCACATAGTTTATTACTTCTAAATAGGGAACATTTCTGTGTTTGTGATAAGCAATTAAATGGTTGTTGTTGTTGTTATGTGCCGTCGAGTCGGCCCCGACTCATAGCGACCCCTCCTTGGGTTTCCGAGGCAGTATCACTACGGAAGTAGGATTGCCCAACCTTCCTTCCGAGGAGTGGCTGGTGGGTTTGAACCGCCAGCCGTCTGGTTAGCAGGCAAGTGTCTTAGAGGCCTTTATTTTTCCCTCTAAGAGTATAGAGTGTACTTAGGAAAAGTCAAGGTTTTATATTCATTTTTCAAGGTTGCAAACAAAGGAAAAATATATAATCATCAGACTGTAAAGTGCAGGAATATTATTCTAATAAAATAAATAGATGTTTCCAACAGCTTCTATCAGAGCAAATGAACAGAACCTAAAGTTCTCATGTTCCCTGCTGTGATTAAGATTTAAGTAATTATCAGTCCTCACTGGATCTCACTCCCCCCACCCTTGTTTGTCAGGTATTTAGGGAAAGGAGCTGTTTTCATTTTTAAGATAACAGATGTCATCAATGGTGTTTATCTATTTAAAATCATTCTTCTTAAAAGAAATATATATACATATTAATGATATATAAATTTTTCACTAATATTTTATTGGCTTTGATGGAAGATTCTACAAAGAACAGAGCATTTAACAGAATTTTAAAATACTATTCTGCAAAGGAGGAGCTCTGGTAGCATAGTGCCTAAGGCACTTGACTGCTAACCAGAAGGCTGGCGGTTCAAACCCACCAGCCACTCCTAGGAAGGAAAGTTGGGCAATATACTTCCGTAGTGATACTGTCTCGGAAACCCAAGGGGGGGGGGTCACTATGAGTTGGGTCTGACTCAAGGGCACATAACAACAACATTCTGGAAAGAGAATGATAGTCAAGGAGCATCAGACAACATTTTTCTATGTAGGTATTTATTCTCTTTTTTTAATTCAAAATAACTATCAATATTAATAACAATAGGAAATTTGAATTTTATAGAGTATTTACTAAAATATAGAGTTAGAAATGTCCCTATCTCCAGTTTTTCCTCTAATGTGGAAATTTTGATCTCAAAATTGAGGTTACTCTCATTTTCTTCCCCTATGTCAAAAAGACTAAACTCATTCAAAAGTACAAGGTGTTTTTGAGCACTAAACAGGAAAGAAATTGTGATGATTTTTTTCTTGTTTTCACATAAAAATTCAGAACATTAAAAATTTACTTGTACTGGACAATAATGAAAATATAATATTTTCCCAGAAATTTTTGATAGTAAAATTTATTTTCATATTTGTATAAATTTTTGAAAGATGCACAACTTTTTAATTAAATAGCAGCAAAATAAAACAGGCAAGCAAAATGCCCACTAGTCTTCCTATTTACATTAATGCAACACCTGTCAGTCACTGAGTACAATATTATAAAAAATGCCACAGAACCGACAAAGTACGGCTGTATTTTCCGCCAGACATTAAACCTTGATCCACATTTATAGTTCCAATTTAGGGATCTAATAACTTAATTAGGAGCTCTGGTAGCATAATGCCTAAGGCACTTGACTGCTAACCAGAAGGCTGGCGGTTAAAACCCACCAGCCACTTCTCGGAAGGAAGATGGGACAATCTACTTCCGTAGTGATACTGCCTCGGAAACCCAAGGAGGGGTGGCTATGAGTCGGGTCCAACTTGACAGCACATAACAACAACAACAATAACTTCATTATTGCACCTTTTAGAAAACGAAACTCATGAAGGAGAATTGGTGTCTTCTCTTACCAGGGTTCGGTTAGGGATAGGGCCTGGGTTAAAAATTATTTTATTTGTTACTGGGAAGATGCAGTTAGCCCTAAAATCTCTTCATTTTTGTATTAATTAGTCATGAGTGAGAATCATTTGAGATCTCTGTGGTTAGCATTTATTGAAAACTTGTATGTGCTAGACACTGCACTAAGTATTTTACACTCTCCTTTCAGCTCTCACAACAGCCTACCTGGTATGTGGGTAAACTGTATTGATTCTCAAATTACAGATAAAGAAACTACAGTTTATACAGACTTAGTAAATGGACTATGATCCTTCTATTTGTAAGCACTGGAACTTGAACTGCAACAAAGGCAATCTGACTCGTAAATCTCAACCCTAATTTTCACCTGTGTGTGTTTGTGTGTGTGCATGCGCGTGCATGCATGCGTGTGCACCATCAAGTCAATCCTGACTCGTAGCGACAGTATCAGGCAAAGTTAAGCCACTCCATAGGGGTTCCAAGGCTGGAATCTGTTTGGAAGGAGCCCTGGTAGCACAGTGGATAAGTGCTTGGCTGTTGATTCTCAGCTGCTGATTCCAAAAATATTATAGCCTTGGAAACCCTATGGGCTGTTCTACTCTGTCCTGTAGGGTGGTGTGAGTCGGGATCAAATCACCCTCAATGGGATAATCTTTACAGAAGCAGATCTCTACGTCTTTTCTCCACAAAGCAGCTGGGTGTGTTCAAACCATCACCTTTAGATCAGCAGCCAAACACTTAAACATTATGTCACCAGGCCTCCATAATTTACACTACTCTCTTTTGAGTACATTAATATTAAGAACTCACAATTCTGCCATACAGGTCTGTGGACTCACATTTGTATTGACATTCCTGTTTTGTGTTTGACCAGTGTTTGAAAAACATCACCATTATCTTATACACCTGAGCCCATTTTTCCTTTGTTTCATTTTTATGCATTTTGTATCTCATTTGAGCAATAGAAATAGAAAACTCTCTCACTGATAATATATTAGGAAAAGTGAAAAATACATTGTTTTGGAGATTATCTTAATCTAATTTAGTGAGCTGGATTTGATTTACAATATTTATATGGGCAACTGACAGACTATTACTTTGAGTAGATAATCCTCTTTAGTGACATTGCACAATGAATATTCATCTTAAAGTTATTATTTACAATTTTTAGGACTGGGAATTACAAGAAAAAAAGTAAGGAAATGAAAATACAAATATTTCATCACTTTTTGGTAGAGATAAGCACCACAGTGGCTAAGACACTTGCCTGCTAACCAGACGGCTGGCGGTTCAAACCCACCAGCCACTCCTCGGAAGGAAGGTTGGGCAATCCTACTTCCGTAGTGATACTGCCTCGGAAACCCAAGGAGGGGTCGCTATGAGTCGGGGCCGACTCGACGGCACATAACAACAACAACAACATGCTTTGTTACATAGGTATGTGTCTGGTATGCATATGGTGCTTTTACAAAGCACTCTGGGTTTTAACAACTCAGGATCAGAAGAAATGATGATTAAACACTGACAAAGAGGAAAAGCAAATAATCCTCTTTTAGAAAAGATCAGGTTAGACACAATTACAACTCAAAATTGTGGATTCAAAATGAGTACAGATTTTAAGGAACAGAACTAAGAGATTAATTTAGCCTTGGATTATAATATAGGACACTAAAGCATAGTAAGATTCAATTTCAATGAGAAAGAACCACAGCAAGTTGTATGGAACATTAGGGATAATTTTAAAAATGTTTGCATAAACTTGTTTTTCCTCATTTTACAGCTGACATTTTGGGATGTCAAAATACATTTCAATGATCAAAGTAAAAGAGATCTAACTGCATTTGGTTTTAGAATTTTGAAAAAACTTTAAAAATCTCAAAATATAAACAAGTCTCAGAATATTTTACTTTCAGTCATTAGCTGAACTCTCTGGGTGTTTGGACATCCAAACCCACCAGGTAATGCCTTTTTATCATTATCAAATTAATGGCATTGCCCATGACCAAATATTTGTGTTTTCAACTTTCTTTTATGTATTTGATGACTATTTTTTCCTTCAGCAACCACAAAATATCATAGCAGTGTTTATGGAAGCCCAAAGAGTTGGCACATTACTAGATTTTTTCTTTTGCCCTATGGATAATTAATGAGAACCAACATTAAACTCTCTGGTTGGTTTACTGACAGTCTCTGATGATTGTACATCAGTAAGTTCATTAATCTGCCAATCATTTGTAACATGATCCATTTGATTTTCCTATACCCACACACCCCCAAAATAGTATAGGTTCTTTCAAAATAGGTAGAAAAGTTTTTTTTTCATTATCAGATTTTTGGACAGAATGACCACATTATACTGCATAACCCATCTTTCCCCAATTCCAGCTTGACTTTTAAATATTATTTAGAGCATGGAAAACCAAACTCACTTCCAGTGAGTTGATTCCCATTCACAGAGACCCCCACTGGATTTCTGAGGTGATAAATCTTTATGGAAGTAGATTGCCACGTCTTTCTTCCACATAGTGGCTGGTGGGTTTGAATCGCCAACCTTTTTAACAGTCAAATGCCTTAGGTACTGCAACACCAGGCATTATAGATTAAAAGACTTTGATTTAGGATTTAAGAGAAATCTGTTCCAGTT